CCGTTGCTCATTGCGTGGAGGATGTTTGCCTCGCCGTCGGCCTGCACTGGCCGCACCTGGGTCTCGCGCGTCAGCGGCTCGTCCGTCTCGGGCCAACGGAGCTTGCTCATTGCCAGGGAGCATGGGATCGACATGGCGCACGACGTGATGATGTTTTTGGAGTCGACACCCAGGGCAATGTACGCCTGCAGCATCGACCCGCTGACCGTCGCAAACCCGGCCGTCAGGAATGCATGGATCTCGGACAGCGTCACATGCTCCAGACAGTCCTGCACCAGCAGCATGCCCTCGGACTGGCCGACAAGCGGCGCGGCGACCGCCACAACCGATTCGACGCCCGACGTCCCCAGAAGTACCTGGAATGCCCGGCCCAGGTGCCGGAGCAGCCACTGCACGCCGCCCAGGTAGCACATGATCTGCACAAACGACGCGAAGAAGATGAACGCGGGGATCAGGACCAGCGCAAACACGGTTGTTGACTTTGCGCTGTCGCCAAACATGAACTGCGCCCCGTACGTCGCAAACCCGAGCAAGCCCTGCGCCATGTTGGAGAGCCACGCGAAAAAGTCGCCGCCCCAGCGGGTCCGGGCCACGAGGCAGCCGACGCAAAGCTGCGCCATGAACCCAGCGATGACCGTGCGCCAGGGGATCCGCCGCGGGTACCGAGACGTGGCTGCCAGAAGCGCTATGATGACCACGATGCCCAGCAGCGACTGCATGCGCTCGAGGCGAGTCCCGGTAGCGCTGTCCGGCAGCGCCAGCGCCAGTGCCAACGCTGTTGCAACAAGAGCAGCCGTCGCCGCAATGTACCGCACTAGCCGCGGGGCGCGCCGCAGCCACACCATCGCCGGCCCGCTGAGCCTCCGCATCGCGCCCGACACATGTGCAGTGCCGGTGAACGCCAGCAGCATCTTGCCCGTCACAAGGGCGTAGATGGCAATGAACGGGAGCAGGTCCGAGAGCCGTGTCTTGCGCCTCAGCACGAGCGACGCGATAAAGTACCCGGTCACCAGGAGCCAGATCCCGAGCACCCAAAACACCCGGTGCACCCGCCACGAGTACCGCAGGTATCGGACGGGATTCCACCTACCCAGTGGCGCCGCATCTGTAGGAGCTGCATCGTCGTGGCCCTTGTTGCCTTCTCGCACCTCCACGCTGCCCCCCTCTGTGAGCGTAGACGGCTCACGCACACCACCCGAGTCCATAGCAGACGGGTGTAGGAGTACCACTGGGTACTGCGCAGAACCAGGGCGGGAGAGGGCGCCTGTGTAGCAGAAACAGGCGGACAGAGAGGCATGCGGGCACCGGCTCAGCCGCCCAGGATCCGGCGGGGTGGCGGCGACTGGAGCGTCCTCCACCGCCACCTGGCCACGCGACCGGCGGGGCGTGCCGCTGCACGGATGTGGCGCCGCCAGCCACTGTCCCCGGCGTCACTGCTGGCCACGGAGCATGTAGCAGGATTTGTGCTTCCAACGCGAAAAAATACGGCACCAGCTACTACGCCAGGCTCAGGCGATCATCGCCACGATCGCTGCGGTCATCATCGTCGCGACGGCGCCCGTCAGACACGCGCTGAGGGCCAAACGCGCAACGTCGCCCTTGCGCGTCGGAGCCAGCGCGCCGACGGCCCCAATGACCTGGGCGATGGATCCGGTGTTGGCAAAGCCGGCCAGCGCGAACTGGGCAATCATCAGCCCGCGCGGCGAAAGCGTGTCCTGGATGGCCGGGGAGCCGTCGGCGCCAACCAGCCGGGAGTACGCGACAAACTCGTTGGCGATCAGCTTGAGCCCCAGCAGCTGGGACACCTTGAAGACGTCGCTGCCCGGCACGCCAAGCAGCCAGGTCAGCGGGTAGAACAGGTAGCCGAGGATCAGCTCCATGGTCAGGTCGGGAATGCCGACAAACTGGCCCGTCCATGTGAGGAAAAAGTCGATGGCGTAGATGATCGACACCATGCCGATGAGGGTAGCCATGATCAGCAGCGACAGGGTCATCCCGGTGGCAGCGCCGTTGCCCATTGCGTGGAGGACGTTCGCCTCCCTCTCGCGCTTGGACAGGACGATGCGGCCGCGCGTCGCCGACTCTTCCGTCTCCGGGTAGCGGATCTTGCTCAGCGCCAGCGAGCACGGGATGCTCATGATGCACGCCGTGATCAGGTTCTTTGCGTCGACGCCCATCGCCACGTAGGCCTGGAAGACGGACCCGCTGATGGTGGCAAACCCGGCGGTCATGCACGCGTGGAGCTCGGACTTTGTCATGTGCTCCAGGTAGTCCTTGACCAGCAGCACGTTTTCGCTCTGCCCGATGAACGGCGACGCCGATGCGACGATGGACTCGGCGCCCGACGTGTCGAGCAGCTTGTAGAAGAACCACCCCATGCGCTGGAGCAGCCACTGGACGCCGCCCAGGTAGTAGAGGATCTGCACGAACGCGGCAAAGAAGATGATGGCCGGGAACAGGATCACCGCGATGGCGCCGCTGTCGAGTGCGCCCTGGCCGAACAGGAGCCGTGCGCCATAGCGCGAGAACGCCAGGAAGCCGGACGCGATCTCTGCCAGCCACGAGAACAGGTCGCTGCCCCACTCGGTCTTGAGGACGATGCAGCCGAGGCAGAACTGCATCAGATACCCGACGAGCACGGTGCGCCAGTTGATGTGCTTTGGGTTGCGCGACGTGCACACGAGGGTCCCCGTGATGACGACGATGCCGAGCAGCGACTGCATGCGCGCCAGCCGCCCGCCGTACTGGTCGACGCCCAGGCCCAGCGCCACGGACAGGAACAGCGCCAGCAGCACCAGCCCGCCGGCCGCGTACCGCATATACGCGGGGACGCGCTGCACAAGCGTGCGGTCCACCCACCCGCTCGCCCGCCCGATGCGCGACGTCAGGGGCTGCGTCGGCACGAAGTAGAACGCAATACGCCCCGTGATGAACACGTACAGGAATATGAACGGCAGCACGTCCGAAGCCTGCGTCTTCTTGCGCAGCGCCAGTGCCGCGATAAAGTACGCCGTTGTGAGCGCCCACGCAAGGGCCACCAGCCACCGCTTGTGCTGGGTGGCCAGCCGCCGGAGCTTGCGCATGTAGACCGCGAGGCCGCTGGCCCCTGGGTTTCCGGGCGACGCATCGGGGGTCTCTTTAGAGTCTCTGGCGATGGGCCCGTCCTCGGCGCCACGGGCCTCTTTCACGTCGTCCGAGTCGCCGTCCCCGCGCGACTGGCGCGGCGATGGCTGGGGCGCGTCGCCGCCAAACCCTCCCAGCTGCGGAAGCATTGCTGCGGCTGTTCGTATGGCCAGGCGCGGGTGAAGCGGGGTCGAGGCAATGGCCGGCGGTGTGGAGGTGGCGGGCGTGGCGGCGCAGAGAAGAGGATCGAGCAGAAGACCCCCTCTCGCACGCGCCACTGCGTGCCACGCACGCTCGCTAAATACCGGAGCACGGGCCGGGGCGTGCCAGTCCTCCGGCCTGCACCACTGCGCGCGCCCTCCTCCGTTTGAGAGGTGCCGAAGCGGGCGGGGCCAATCGGCACACCCCGGGCGCCCGATGCGTCCACTTCCGCGCTCGTGCACAATCGGGGTTGGCGCAATCGGTGGCAGCGGTGGCTAGCCGACAAACCGCTGGGGCGACAATCGGCGGAAGTTCTCAAGCGCGGTTGCCAAAACGGGCACGCGGCTGCCGGGCACGCGGCCCAGCCCGGCCCGGCAACAGCAGCGATTCTAGCTTTATTGGGGGAGGTCATCGGGCTCCAAACTCAAAGGCGCAAGCCCTTGGGAAACTCGCGCCAGCAACCTACGACGCCTGCTGCTTCAGGCGCGCCATGACGCTGTGCGCAAGCTCGGCCGCCACGTCCTGCGACAGCAGGTCCTTGGCTGCGTGGCCCAGGCTCTCCTCGTACGCAAAGATGACCGACGTCTCGGTGATCTTGACATACAGCCGGTTGAGCAGCTGGACGCAGTTGGCGACGCGCGCAATGGCCTCGCGCTCCGCGTCCGAGATGGGCTCGTTGCGGTCCGAGTAGATGTGCTCCGCGTTGGCCTCGACCTTTGCCGCAGACACATGCTTGCTGACCCAGATGTAGCCGTTCACGCCCAGCACAATGTCGACGCCGCAGGGCAGGGTGTGGAAGTGGGTGCGGCTGCGCGGCACCAGCTGGGGGAACACGGCGACAAACGTGCCGTTGCGCAGCTTGCCGTACTGGATCGACCGCGTGTGCAGCGAGAGCGCGCCGTCGGCAAAGTACGACTGCACCTCGGCAAACACCAGGTCGCCCTCTGCGAAGAACGAGCGCATCTGAAGCTCGTCCGACTCGGACTTGCGCCGCTGGATCCCGCCCGGCAGGTTGATCGACGACAGCAGGAGCACGCCATCCTGCCGCGAGTTGACATCCACGCGCCACCGCTTGGCCGCCACCTCGGTGATCCGGCCGACGATGATGTCGCCAATCTCGCCGCTGTACCGCTGCTTCAGCGACCGCACCGACACCAGCTTGTTGATCCGCTCCACGACGCCCGCCACCGACGAGTAGATCGTCGCCCCCTCGCCAAACGTCCCGTGCCCGCGCATAAACGCCGGGTCGCTCGTAATAGCGCTGCCCGGCGTCACAATGCGCGCCGCCACATCGGCCGCCACCGGCTCTGTATCGATGTCCATCATTTTCTTTGTTCGGTTCGATGGGCAGGGTCGTGCCTGCTTGAATATGGCCGCGACAGCGCTAGAAAAGGAGCAGGGCAGTTTAATCCCCACCGCAAACTGCTGCGCGACCCGGAAACCCGGGCAGCGCGCCCGGCCATGTCGACACCCTTGTGGGTGGCAATACGTGGCTGCTGCTCGCCGCGAGTTCCCCGCTTGTCTAGCCGAGGCTGTGTGGACCGGTGCAGGTGTCCCTAGTCGAGCCCATGGCGGACAGTGTGGCCCTCCAGCAGCTAGGCTGCAATGGGCCGCCTCTTTCTCGGAAAGGGGGGCGAGAGGGTCTGGCTGTCCCAGAAGCTGCATGTGACAAAAGCGCCCGCTTGGCCCAGTGGTTAAGGCGTCAGTCTTGTAAACTGAAGATCACCGGTTCGACTCCGGTAGTGGGCAACTTGTTGCTGCATTTTTATTTTTGCATTATTTTTGTTTTCTGGACAGCCCGAGACGCGGCACCGGCCCCGATGCGGTTGCTCGACAGGACGCCCAGTTTGCAAAAGTCTACAGCAGGCCGTCTGGCACGGCGCTCTTTTTGGCTTGTCCGCCGAGCTTCATGGCGCCGAGGCCCGTCCGCCGCGGCGCTGCTGTTGTGGACGGTGTGCGCGGCGCTGGTGGCTTGGTCAGCTTCAGGGACGGCTTTGCGGGTGCGGCGGGCGGCGGGGGCGCAGGCGCGGCCGTGTCCTCTGCGGCGTCGAGGTCGTCTTCGTCGTCAAGGCCCCAGCCGTCGTTGCCGTTGCCCCAGCCGTCGTCATCAAACGACCATCCCGCGCCAGTGCTTGGCTTTGGCGATGTGACGACCGTCCTGAGGCCAGAGGGGGGCTTTCCAGCCACCGAGGCAGGCCTGGCGCTTGGCGCAGCTGTCGCGGAGGTCTGCGCCGGCGCCGCGGGCGTACTGGTTGCGCGGTCGCTGCCTGTGGTCGGGGTGGCCGGCGGGGATGTGCCCAGGGACTGTCCGATCGGCAGCGACGACGCCAGCGAAAGCGCGCCGCTGATGGTGCTCGACAGCGACGAGACGGCCCAGCCGCCCCACCCATCCGGCGACGCGGCCATGCTCGCGGCAGCCTCTATCTGCGCAGCGGTGCCGGCAGCGGCGGCAGCGGTGGCAGTGGCCGGCTGCTTCTTGATTTGCGTGTCGGGCATGGTCTGGGCATGGGCCTCCACGCGCGCCTCCATCGCGTGCAGCGCCTTGAGCGCGGCCGTGCGCACGGGCTTCTCGCCGTCCACCAGCAGCGGGGCGATGGCCGGGATGACGCGGCGCGCAATGTCCAGGGCGTCCCACTTTGGCGCGCAGGCAGCGACCACCGCCAGCGACGCCGCGCGCACGGGCGGGAACTGGTCGCGCAGGGCCTGCATCAGCGCCGGGCATATGACGTAGCGGTGCGAGGCCTCGGTGACGCCGCCGGCGTCGAGGTCCAGGGCGCCGGGCTTTGCGGTGCACAGCTTCCCCACGCATATCAGGGCGTTTGTGCGGATCCCGGGCTCCGGGTCGCCGACCAGGCGCACCAGCTGCCGGACCAGGTCGTTGTTGAGGGTCTTTTGGTTGAGCTTGGGCGCGACCGCCAGCGACGCCTTGACGGTGGCCTCGCGGATCGCCGGCGCGGCGTCCATAAAGCCCGTCATAAAGTCCGGAAACACCTTTTTGGCCACGACCGCGGGCGGGATGGCGCAGACAAAGCTGGCCATGTGCTCGAGCAGGCTGAAGCGCAGGGCGCGGTCGTTGGAGCCAAACATCTGGACGATGGCAGGCGCCACCAGGGCGTTGTACTCGGCCTCGTCCATGGCCTTTCCGATCTGGACGATGCTGCTGAGCACCTTGGCGTCGTGGCCGCTGCCAGCCCGGCCGATGCCGCCAAACTCGACCAGCTTTAGCAGCTCGGGCAGGATCTTGTGTTTGGTGAACTCGGCCGGGAAGCCCGAGATGGTCGCATCGAGGTTGGCAAAGAACGTGGCGCGCTCGTCGTCCTCCCGGATGGCAATGTTTTCGATGAAGCGGCACGCAGTGACAAACGGCGAGTCGAGGAACCCGCCGGGGCGCTCGCCCGCCTGCAGAAACTGCGACGGCGTCATTCGCCGGCCGAGGTCGGGGGCGCGCAGCCGCTGGCAGAGGGCCCACAGCGCCGCGGGGATGCGGCCCTGCGCGGCGGGCGACGAGGCCGCGTTGTACGCCTCGTGGATGAGGCACGCCAGGCCCCAGCCGTCCAGGGCGCCGAGCGCGGCCTTCTCCACGCGCCCCCACGCCTGCGACTCGATCTCGGGCGCCATCCGCGCTGCATAGCCCGGGACCACGGCCGTGTAGTGGCGGTACATGTGCTGCTCGCTGCCCTTGCTCTCCAGCGTGTCCGTCAGCTCAAAGCCGGCCAGGCGCCACTCGCCGGCCTTTGTCACAAACACGGACGCCGCCGAGACGTTGGCGTGGACCAGCCGGCAGTCGCCGTTGACAAAGCTCAGCGCCTCGGCGGTTTTGAACAGGCCCCACCGCCGGAGCTCGTTGGCGCTGTCGTCTCCGGCGCTCTGCTCGAGGGCCAGCGCCAGCGGCGTGACAGGCTCGGTCGCAATGTAAATGGCGTCGGCAGTCTCGGCGCCCTCCAGGTACTTTAGGATGCCCGGGTGCCGCAGCGTGCGCATCCGCTTCAGCGCATTCTGCGCGGCGGCCGTGTAGCTCGGCCCGCGCGCTTTGTCAAACACAAACACGGTCGCTGCCTCCTGCCTGCCGTCGGTGCTCTGCGCCGTGTGGACCTCCCAAATGGTGCGCCCGGAGAACGCGGCTAGCCGCTCGCCCAGCGCGTAGTGGAAGTCGGGCACGGCGCCGCTGCCGCCGGCAATGCCGCCGACCCGGGACAGCGTCGACAGCAGATAGCCCGAGAAGCCAGACATGCTAGCGAGTACCAGCGAATGCAAAGGAGCTAAACGGGGCGATGGAAGAGCTCGAAAAATGGCTGAGCCGAGATGCGGGAATGCGCAGAAGAGAGCGAGGCGCATCACCCACTCGCGATCGGGATCGTCCGCGTGGCCTTGGGGGCTGCGGGCGCGGCCATGTCGAAGCACATCATGCCGACCAGCGTGCCGACGCCAAAGCCAACGATTGCGTAGCCGGTGTACCGCGCCCACGCCTGCCGCGCGCTGCTGCCACCGCCGCCGCCATCGTCGGCCCCGTCGCCGTGCGCGCCCTTGCTGCCAGCCGCGCGCGGCCTGCCCGACGGCCTGCCCGACGGCCGCTCTAGCGGGCACAGGATCGTCTTCTCCAGCGCCGCCTCGGCCTGCGCCCGCGCCAGCAGGTCCAGCTCGCACGGCACAGCAGTGGCAGCGGCGGCACCCGGCCCAGGGACGAGCATGGGCGTGACAGTTCGGATCGAGGCAAACGGCGACCGCACCCCGCCTGGCGACACAGGCAGGCGGATCGGCGACCGGTAGCGCTCGCCGTGCTCGGCCAGCAGCGGGTGGTAGGCGGCGCTGGCGCCGACAACGGTGGTCCCTGCTGCAGACAGGTCGGCCGGCCCGCTGTTTCCAGCTCCGCGCGGCTCTCCTGGGCCCGGGACCGCGGGCGGCATGTGGACATCCGCGTGGGGGCCGTGCTGCCAGATGTCGTCGAGCGAGGCGGGCTGGCGGGCGCGCTGCTGCTGCTGCGACGGCGGCGCGGTGGCGGACAGCGCAACGTCGGAAAAGTGGTCAAGGCTGGCGGCAAAGTGCCGCCGCGGGGCCGACGACAGGTAGCACGGCTCGCTGATCTTGGAGAGCGTGCTGGGCGACCGGGATCTGCGGCGGCCGGTCTCAGACTGGTGGCGCCAGCTCTGCTGGCCGCTGTTGCCGCCCGCGCCGTGCGCTCGCGCGTGCCGCGACGACAGCACCGACGACGACGACGTGGGCGACCCGGCGGACGAGAGGAGGCTCGCCACGCTCTCGCGGAGCAGGTGCACAGCCTGCTCCTCGGCGTCAAGGCCAGCGATGGGCGACGCCGCTGCTTCGGGGGCTGCGGGCTGCGGATCAGGCTGTGCTTCTTCGTCGCAGGCGCGCCCGGGGTCGTCGTCCTCGGTGTCGCTCGAGGTCAGGGAGATGACGCCGCTGCTCTCGTTGCCGACGGCGACCCATTGGTCTACAGCGCGGCCACGCATGAGGCGGGGCCGCCCATGGTTAGCCTCGTGCGCAGTCATGCGTGCGATTTTCCTCGCTGCGAGTGGCGGGCACAGTCAATCCCGCTCCCTGCGGCTCCAGGCGGCGCAGGCATCCCCGCCCGGGGCCGCCAGGTCCGCGACGTACCTGTGGGCGTCAAGTGCCCGCTTACGTAGGCCGACGCTGGCTCGCGGGGCGTCGCCGCAAACACGGCGTGCACGTCGCGGCTCTGCAGGTCCGTCAGAACGCTGCCCGCGCCCTGCTGGCTGCGGAGCTGTTCGCGCGCAGCCGCCCGCGAGTGGACGTTCAGCGGCGGCCCGTCGCGGCGCCGCGCCTGGCTACTATGCGGAAGACTACCGGAGGGTGCCATGCAGAAGAGTCGGGGGCGCAGGCAGAGACAGAGCTAGCGATGACTGAAGAGAAGCAAAGGGGCTCTGCCTCGTCGGGCGCTAAGATGGGAGGAGGGGCGGCAGCACGCACGCCATCTGCGGGTCAGCTGAGCCAGGCTGTGCGCCGCATGCTCTGGCGCCGCATGCGCTGGCGGCGGGCAGCGTCGGGTGGCGCCGGGTTCTTGGTGTTCGTGCCAGCGAGCAGACAGGAGACTGCTCGGCTGCCTTCTGTGTGCCTCTCCACGACTCCTTGGCAACGGCCGGGTACGCTAGTGGGCCGGGGGATAACGTCTAAAGAATCGGCAGAAAGTGGCCGATGACGGCCATGGGGATGCCAAACAGGTCGCGCTTGATGGTGAACGAGAAGGCGCACGGCACCACGCTGCCGTCGGCGCGCAGCAGGCGGCAGTCGGACATGACCGAGTGCTCCGAGTTTTCAAACGCGTGCTCGGCAAAGTTTTCAATGTACATGACCGTGGAGCCGGTGTCCATCAGCTCAAAGATGTAGCGGCCGCCGGCAGCCAGCCCCTGCTGGCTCCACTGCGTCAGGATCGAAAACTCCTTGCCGACCACCACGATCTCGCCCGTTCGCCGCCACACCACCGTGGGCGTGCCAATAAACCCAATCAACTTCACGTACTCGCGCAGCGCGCGCTGGAGCGACTTTTCCGTGAATACCAGATCCTCGCACGTCAGGTTGCGCAGCAGCGCCACCAGCGACGGCCGGAACCGCGCCACCGCCCGACACACCCGGAGCACATCTTCGCGGTTCATCCGCGTGCTGATGTACTTGAAAAAGTACCGGAACCCCTCATGGTGTCGGTACGGCTCCGTCACCGACGAGTATACGTCATCGGCGCTCTCGGGCTGCATTGGGTTGAGCCCCTGCACCACGGG